TTCCCTATCATGCAAGAAATAAGTCTGGCTGTGCTTTAATCACCATCGTGTATTACTTCAGCCACAGAGTACCAGGCGGATTAAGTAGAAATGCACAGGTTTAGCTCATCATCTCTGCAGAAGTATTTCAGAGGCTCAGTTCCTGGAGAATTCTGGGTGGGCACACAGTGTCTCTTCATGCAGACTCACTAGTCTCTACTGGCTTAATCATGTGGTCCGGTTTGTTGCCAGCAGCGTAGTGATCCCACATCTGAAGATAAAGCCGCTCCAGGTCTGTTGTGTACTGTTTCGTGTTGAACAAAGGACTGGATATTCTCTGCTTCCAAACTTTGCCACGTATTTTTTTCAGGCTACAAAAATAGAGTTAAAGCAGTCACAAGAAGTTCCAAACACTTCCTAATACTGTTTACTTTTGAAATTTACTATTTTCAGCTAACCCAGAACTGCTAGTACAGCTGTTTCAAAAATATCTGCTTCCCCCCTTCCAACAAATTCATACTGCCATTTCATCCCCTCATCATTTCTGATACAGACCAGCATGACCACTTCAACTCAGAAGAACTGTGACATTAATGCATTAACTTACTGCATTATCTGTACTGCAGTAACTTTTTACAGCACGATTTTAACTTGAAGTGACAAACTGCTTAATCTTCAATTTAAAAAGAACAAAAGGTGAACTATATTGCACTTTTTATCAGGTAAGAGCCTGCACATGAGCAATTTCTTCATAACAGCACTCCCAACTAAGTAACAGTGCTACCTGTTTACTGTAAAAGCAGAAGCTGAGTTAACTACAAGACAAGAAACCTCTAGACAAGGATTGCCTGTTTTAAATATTTTAAAATCTGCAAGATTAAAACTACTTATGTAAGTCTCAGCACTGTACCCAAATAGAGCATTTTACATTCTTCATGTTACCACATTACACAGTACAAGTTTGCTTACTATTCCAGATCAGTTCCCAGTTTCACGGCAATATCCTCATATTCCTGTCTACTTTTTGCAATGAGTTCAAGACAACCCAGGCAGGTAAGCTGGGAGGCAGCAACTCGTGATGCAAGAGTCTCGCCTGTAAAAAAAAAAAAAAAAGGTAACAGGAGTAAGCTTATCAAGTAACATATTGCAGAGTACAAGTTACTTCCTTTCTGCCTCTACAAGAGGCAAAACTTTATTGGGCTTGCTGTTATTAAAAAAAAAATAGTAATATTCAAACCCAACTGTTCTAGGTAGGTTCCCTGGTTCATTACCCGGCATAGTGACCATTGGAGTCCCAGCCCAAAGTACATCCATCCCAGTTGTGTGCCCATTGCAAAGCGGAGTATCTAGACAAACATCAGCCAATTGCCCTCTCCTCACATGTTCTTCTTTGGGGGCAACAGGAGAAAAGATAATTCGGTTTTGGGAAAGACCCAAGTTTTGTGCATATTGCTGAATATTGGGTTCTCCTACAGCTGGGAAACGTAACAGCCACAGTACACTGTTTGGAACTCTTTTTAGGATCTGTAACAAAAATAAAGCAGCAAATACAGAAAGTTTAGTCAGAAACATTTCTTTTTCCAAACAAGAAATTACCACATACCAAAATGAAGCAAAAGGCATAATCATTTGATACTTTAACTTCTGAGATATACAGCAGGAAAAAAAAATAGATCATAATTTCAAATGGAGTAACTAGAATTGCATTTCTAATCCTACTGAATGGACAGCAACTCTGAGCAATAGTTCACAGAGCAAGACTTAGAGAGTAAGTATTGAAATTTATGATCGCATTTATTTATAGGCCCACGTTATGGAATATTAAGAAAACTCACCCCTCAAGTAACTCTCAGCAATACACTATAAACTGGACCTTGATACAGACACTCAGTGCTCAGATCTTTCAATCTACCAACTGTCAAGGCCAGTTATTACTTAATTATGCAGACTAGGGAAGACCAAACTTAGTATTTCACAATGAACTACCAGCATACTAAAGCTGTCCAAGATGTAATTTTTCATTGGCTAGAAGTACAGATGTGATTTGAAATCAATCAAAAAAATTCTATATTCTATTAACACTAAGTCCTGCAACATGAGCACTGTAATGATTCAAACCACTCAGGGTCAGTATTTTCCACAAAATAGGTACAGTTTTAACTTGGATTGTTTCTGCTAACTCAAAACAGCTGTGTTCCAGAAGTCTGACCTTAGATTTCATATTAGATACAGATACTCACATTAGCCCACATCTGTAAAGTGGAAGGATCGATCTTATACAGCTGATTAAAGTTACAGTATACAACAGAATCCTCTGGTAAGCCATACTGAGAACGGGTAGTAACAATTACAGTTCGTGGAACTTCTTCACCAGTTGCTGCTTTGTTGTTAATCTAAAGAAAAAATAGCTATTGAACACTGAAACTGCAGGAAACAAGCCTATGCCCTGTGGAACTGTCCTGAGACACACTGTAACATTTGTTAGCATCCTAAGTTACTGTAAGCATATCTTTGGTTTTATTATACAAAAATAAAATAGTCTACTTACCCATAACAAGAATTTAACTGGTATGTATACACACTTGTGGATGCCACAATGTTGCAACCACTAAGGCACAAAACACTGGGCATTTTCATGCCCTTGCTCTATCTCCCTGAAATTCCCAGTAACTGGAATAATTGGAAAGAAGAAACATATAAAGAGGCATTACACATTGACTCCTCCCCTCCTTACAGTCACTTAATTTCCCCAAGACTAAAAATGAAATTAAGACTTCAAGGAAGAATAGAAAAGAAATATTTAGAAAGCAAAGGGGGAGTTTTGTTTGTTTGGGGTTTTGTGGTTTGTTTGGGGGGGTGTTTGGTTTTTGTGGTGTTGTTGGGGTTAAGATAAAAGAAAAGAGGCACAGAATAGATAGTCAAGACTGAAGATGCAGATTAATATGTAACTGATAGACTGTAAGGAACTAGCTAACAGGGAAATAATGCGGAATGCTGAAAATTAGACTAGAGGAGTTATTAATGGACTTTCAAAAAAGAACGGATCTTACACCCTTCACAAAGCATAGAAATATGCTAATAAAAACAGCAGAGGATGAAGTTGGGATAATCAGAATACCATGCAAGAGTCTTGAGGATTAGTAAAATATGATTTTAATTTTTTTTGTTAAATAATGCTAGGCAATGGTGGGATCAAAGCCAGATAAAACAATGAGTACAGACAGAGCAAAACAGGTACTTGGAGCCCTTTTCATGTATTTTACATACATCAAGTTTAGCTCAGTGGCAGTGCAGCCAACCAAAATAAGCATACTGTTGACAAACTTGACATTAATGACAATGACTCACTGTCACTGACTCTGTTAGAAGATGCACGAGATAAATTAGTTCAACAACAGTTGGTAAAAGTGCTACTTATCCGGGTCACTGAGGAGACCTCAAAAACACAATGCACAGTTCTCATCAACCTACATCAATAGCTGGTATCAAATTACAACAAGCACAGAGAAGAGTTATATTAATGCGATCAAAAGATAAAAATCCTGTTAAAAGAGCACCAACAGAGTTTATATTGTTTCATCTTGGTGATGGAGTGCTACGACAAGAATTCTCCATTATCCTCAGGGGACAAAAATTTCAGAAAAAAATGCTAGTAAGCTTACTGACCAAACTAAGACATAACCTATTACCAACTTAAAGGAAAGTCTCAGCTGTGAGCAAAAAACTCATAAAAAGAAACCAAGGCATGAGATTATGGATAAAGCAGTGATAATAAAAGGTCTCAAAATGATGTAAAAGAGTCCCCTGAAGCACCATAAACTGACTAAAATTCATGAGTCAAAAGAGTTACGCCTTAGGATATGGCATACCAAAATATAGTATTTTTTAAGAGGAAGAACTGTTCCGCAAAGGATGAAGTATTACACAAAACCAGTAACTGTCACTATCACTGAAATCCCATGAACTGTTAAGCACTGAGAGGTAGTATAGTGCACAGTTCAGAAACATGTAAGGAGATGAATAACCACTGTTGAGATACAGTGGAATAACTTTGCCTGTATTATCTAGCAATTTTTTTCTAGAGGAAAAACACAACTGAGACTGGGTAACAGTGGGTAACAAATGCCCCATAGGCTGTAGGCAATGAATCAACATGACGGAAGACAGACATTTGCTTGGAGGTTTTTCTTCCTTGTTATGTTAAAACATAAAGATACAACATAAACTCAGAAGTACAGCATCTTGAAGTGCCTCACCTGAGTAGTTGCTAATCCATTACTGATGTTGAATCCATTGATAGTTATCTGAATTTGCCCACGATTAATCATCTCAATCACAGCTTCTGCAATTGTGTTCATAGGAATGACTGGCATACTGAGGGCAGCATTGCCATCTGCATTGTCACAACTGTCAGGACACTTCATCTAAGATAAATCACATAAGCATCAGAGAAACTACTAGCTTCAGCCCCTAAGACTGAGCACACAAAGGAGAAGCTCTCACCTTAACAATCTTGACATCGGGGAGGCTGTCAAGAAAAGCCTTCAAGTCAATGCCATTCAAAACAATTCTGTTATCATAAATATGACCATTGGACTTGAAATCAATGACTGCTTTTTTCTGTTAAAAAAGAAGTTTTAAAAAAGTTACAAGATCCCTTACTAAGTGCCATTTTATAGAGACAGCTATGGAAAACACCTACTTTCTTGCTCTATCTTTCTACATACCTTCAGATGAGGGAACATGTTGGCGTGGTCTCCAATAAAGAAAGTGTTTGGCATGTAAGCTAATTTTTCTGAATACTGCTCAGCCACCTCAACTGGAGAAGTTTCTTTATCTGTGATGATATAATCCATAAACAATGCCCCACTGGTTCCAGGATATCCTAGCCACATTGCCTAAAAACAAGAAAGCAAGGCTCCAGTCCCAGGTGCATTACAAAAATAAAATTAAAAAATCAACACATTTTAAGTTAAATTTTCTACCTACAGATTCAAGTTCCTTCTTGTGCTTTAACAACTGAAGAACAACCATTAATCCCAAACTTTACTGAGACAGTGAACAATTCAAGGATGTTCTAAAACTGATCCCTCTAGCAAAAGGGCAAAATATCCAACTACGTGCAGCTATAGCCAGAATACTAACCAGCAATGATTACAGCTTCTCTTAGCTGAGAAAACTTCTGTAGCCTAGAGTTATTCTGATTCAGGCTTCTCCTATTCTCCTTCCATAGGCATTTTAGAAAATCCTTAATCAAAAAAACCTGACATTGATTCTGACTTATTCTAACAAGAATTTCACTAAGCTTGAAGAGATTAAAACACAACTAATTTCCACAACTGCTTCACATACTCTTTCTTTGTTCTCACTAATGCAAGAAAGCCAGTGGTGTACAGGAACCTCATAGAATTAGGGAGTTCTCTTTCAGGACACAGTCAACTGCCCATAAAGCACATAAAAACCCCAAACTATTCTGCTTCAACAGAATTATCCTATTTGCTCACATATGCTAAGCCCTAAAAGTCTCTCTCACTTACTGATCAACATGAGCCTTCAATGTTTCTTCCATTCTGCCAGAAGAAAAACTCTTCCTACTCACAAGTGGTTTTTTGGAGATTCAGAGCCCTCCTAGTTACCTGAATAGGTGCTGGTCTCAGGGCAAATAATTCATTTCGGGCTCCTTTGGTGTAACCATTCATATTAATAAGGATGTGTATCCCATCCTGATGGATGCGGTCTGCTGCTTTTCCATTACACGGTATCTGAAGAATACATACATAAAAGTGATTTTTGTTTTCAGTCTTCAAGTAATACTGTGGTTAGTCATCAGTGTACCAATGGATAAATGTCAACTGCATAATTTAATTTAGGTGAGACTCCTGGTTTTGCAGAGATACGAGTCCTCAACTCAATGAAAAAAAAAACAAAAAAAAACACCACCCTGCTGAAGCCAAGAAAAACATACATTTGCTAGACACAGTTGAAGCAGTCACTGACAGAAGTTCTAACTGTGGTACTTGAAGATTGCCTTTGCACATTCAAATCGGAGGATGATAGCTAGTGTCGTCAAACTCATCAAGTCATGCAGAAAAATATCACGAATAGACCACAGAAGGAAGTTCAAGCAACACTGAAACTGCTTTAGTTCTCAGCTAAATCAAAGAACAGCAGAACTTCACACAGGTATTGTCAATGACTTTAAGAACAGCAAAGCCTTGGAAATTACAATGTGTCTCTTCCTGTCTAATACTGAAAGGTTAACAATTAAACAGTTTCAAATTCCTCCAAGAATTAATTATGATTAGTCATTACCTACAAGCAGATACGTCTAGTTCAGCAGCAGTAAAACAAACACCAAGGGCTAGAAACTGAGGCTATACAAACCAGAACAGATCTCACCACCATCACTTCTGTAAGGCTAATTAATGATCAAAGCTCATGTAGGCCAAGCGATAGCTTCCCCAACTAACGTAATACAGAGAAATTACTTCAAACTGAAGACCAAGAGTAAGCCAATTAACTACTCCACAGCTACTGCTAATGCTGACTCACTCTACAATTAAAATTTTTGTAAAAAAAGGAAAGCTACTTCACATTTCATAGCAGGGTAAACACATGCACATAGGCAATTACATCTGAGTGGACAACAATCTTGAGTTCTCATCTTAGTTTAACTTTCAGTAAGTAACATTGCTAAAGCAACAGATCACAGCAAACTGTTTCTATTTTTTGACACTCCTGTACAAATCCTTAAGAGTTGCACTGTAACCTAAAAGTACGAGTTTGGTGCCTCAAGAACTTTAAATAAGAAAACTGTCACTCTGGGCAAAGGAAAGAATTTTTCCTATACAGCTGTTAAACGCAACAATAAATATGAAAATGCTGCTCTGTTTTACTATGACCAAGGGCTTTCAACATTCACAGCTGTAAAAACCGGGGGGAGGGGAAGAACACACAGGTGGCTTTCTACAAGCATAACTGAAGCTCATTATTCTAAAAGAACATTTTAATAAGATCAACTTTGCAAAATCCATCTCACAGAAATTCTGCTGACACCAAGTTAGCATTTTTTACTTATGAGAACAGATTCTGAACAACATGAGTTCAAAAACTACATGCAAGTTTTATCTATCACCTAATCTGGGACTATCCAGGTGCCAAATCCAGTTCCACTATTAACGTACACTTATTATCCCATGTTGCTTTAGGGTTTTGCAGTAATCTTGAGATGGTATAACAAGTCCTTGACTTGTCTATACTGAAATCCCCATCAGTTTTTACATAGAACTTAAAAAAAATCCAAACTACCTGTAAACATTACCAAAACAGCCTTTTGATAGAGGGGCAAAATCCCCCCTGTTAATTACTAAGCCTCTGTCCTGCTTTACTGGAGTAAACTTATTTGAAGTTGTGGCATCTTGACTTATCTGCAACATTTAGAGGTGGCTATTATCTTAAGACCTAATAGAACAGTTATTCAGTATTGCTAATATTACTTTTTAAATAATTACACAGATGTCATGTAATAACCACTGCATCCCAGGTAAGGTGTAACACCAATATATCTACAAACTCTGAAATTCTCAAGACTAACAGTCTAATTCAACAGATGATTGCGACTAAAAATCTCAAACTACAGGCAGATCTCTTTCTTCATTCAGATTTGCTAAAAGGTCAATGCATCAAAAAAGCCTACCTGAGATAAGTCAATGAAATGATTTGCTTCAGCCATGACTTTCACACGGAAGTTTGTACCATCATCAGGACTCAGCGCATAACAGAATACCTAGAATGTGAGGCACTAAGAGTTGAGTGTCTGCAACAACTTGCCAACAAAATAGCTTTGTTATAAAATGCATGATATTACAACTGTAAATTACATCTAGTTTCATACAGGTATTACATTTATTTGTATGGCATTTACTAGTCAAGAACGAAGTACAAAAAAAGAAAGGGGCATTAGGCATTTGACACATTTACACCAGGCCTCAGTTTTCCTTAGTTGTGGTGCTACAGTATGGCACTGCATCTTGCATAGACATGTACACAATGGCCTCATCAGTGCAAGGTAAAGTAATTTTAACAGAGAATTTAATGCTTATGCAAATCATAGAATGGGTTGGGTTGGAAGGGACCTCAGAGATCATCTAGTTCCAAGCCCCCTGCCATGGGCAGGGACATCCTCCACTAGACCATGTTGCCCAAAGCCCCATCCAACTTGGCCTTAAACACTTCCAGGGAGGGGGCATCCACAACCTCTCTGGGCAACCTGTTCCAGTGCCTCACCACCCTCACAGTGAAGAATTTCTTTCTAACATCTAATCTAAATCTACCCTCTTTTAGTTTAAACCCATTACCCCTCATTCTATCACTACATGCCCTGATAAACAGTCCCTCCCCATCTTTCCTGTAGGCCCCCTTCAGGTACCGGAAGGCCACAATGAGGTCTCTCCAGAGCCTTCTTTTCTCCAGGCTGAACAATCCCAACTCTCTCAGCCTGTCCTCATAGGAGAGGTGCTCCAGCCCTCTGATCAACTTCGTGGCCCTCACTCCAAAAAATGCCTTTTACAAGACAGCTTTGAATTTGTAATTAGTGAGAATCGTAATTATGACTCAGGTTGAACAGACAAGCTAAGTCTTGGGGAAGCTTTTTTAACAGATTCTTTAAACAGTGACTAGTTCTCTCCAATTAAGAAACTGCAAGTGTATCTGAGAAACTCAAGGTTGACAGGTTATGTATACAGGCATCTTTAGCTAACCCAGCACATATAGATATAGAATAGAACCAATATGCAGATAATTTATTATTATCTTGCTGGACAAAAGCATGGTTTTAGTAAAATAGATAATTTAAATTAAGCTCTGTAGATCTTTATAAATCCAGAACAAGAAAGATTGCCTGCCCTTTGTCTTGAGCTGATTCAAGGTTAAATGGTGTATTCTCCCCACCTCCCATGTAGTCAGACCACCGATTTGTTTCGCTATAAAACCTGCTTCATAGTCACACTTCTGTTAAGAATTCAAGCATGCAGCTCTGCCACAAGGATTTCAGACTACAAAGACTTCATGACCAGAAAAAAGCAAGAAGGTAGGGGGGAAAAAGCCCAAAACCAAACCAAACCAAAAAATTAATAAAAAACACTTTTGCAAGGAGAGAACTTAAAACCTTTTACAAAGGCAAGGCATTCTCATGTCTTGGAAAAGAGGAGCTCAAAACCAAGGCAATTTAAACAGTCATGGAGAAAACAGTGTAACTGGGAATTAGTTCTATTTACAGTCTTAATCCCTTAACATGACACATGAATAAATATGGACATGACTGTCTTTAGCAACGCCAAATTGTCTATGCTCCTTCTGGAGTAATGGTAGTGTATAATTTCCTTTTGAAAAAGCAGCAGCCATACCAATCTGAAGTTCACGTTTGTGATTCAGGTATCCCAGAGAAAATAGATGTAAAAAAAGCCAGCGGCACAGAGTGAACAAAAATCAGATGCGTATCTGATTCAGAAGTAACCAGACAGTAGTAGCTTGATATTAAAACACATCTATTCAAAGAACAGCAGCTGAAGCTTCTTAAAACAAAAAGTTTTCCATGGGCCACAAATACTACCTACAGTAATTCTAAGGACAGGTATCTAATTTGCCTGCCTTCTAAATAACACTTCATATTGTTAAAGGAGGATAACTCAGGCTGGAGAACTCTTCAACCCATAAAAAAAGCCTGCTAACAAAAAAGAAAAACCACAAACCTAGAAACAAAAATTTGCCTTTCCCTAGTTTACCTGCCTGCACCAAGAAAAAGAGAGTGCCACTTAGAGCCGTATTTAAAGCTTTAAGCATGCCATTTATATTTTTACCTCAAATTTGTCCGGGTTATGCATGCCTGGGATTGACTGCATTAGGTGTGAAGTTGGATGGTTTCCAAAATCAGAGCTCACATAGCCAATACGAAGTCGACCTTCACTGGCCTTCAAATCCTTGGGATGCTCATATGGTGGCTTGTGAAGAACATTAATCTGTCAAGAAAACACACACAATGGTTTATAAACTCAGGAATCAAACCTAAATGCTAAAGAGAGGGACAAAAAAAAAAATCCCATGAGTTTGTAGAATTAACTTTATCCCACATTCAAGTAAATGGTCCATGGGCATCTGTTGTTTCAAACCTGCATTATATGTATTCCATTGGAGCCAATGTCCACAAAATGTGTTATGAGACATCAATATAGATACATTCAGCCAAATAAAGACAGATATCACTACAAGCTGACATTTCTGCTTTTCTACCAGGTTGGTTTGTTTTGGTTTGTTAACTATTCCACCCCTGATTATTAAATATACTGATACCACACCACTATGACCAGGAAGTTCTCAAACTACAAGCCACTTGTGACCAGAACAGTATTCCTACGAAGCACCACAGCATGCTTTCTGTTCTTATGCTCATCTTCCCCAGTCAACAGTTTGTAGCCACTATCACTGACAGGATTATCAGGCTATTAAGACAAGCCAGTTTAAAAGCTAAATGTAATCTTCTGAAGTTTGAGATCTTGACATTAGTTAACCAGACCCTTCCACTGGCTGACAAGAGTATTTTCAATTGTAAATGGCAACCTGCTCAAGTAGTCCATCTCAACGTTCACAAGTGCCAACAGTTATAACTCTCTAGTTGAAGAGAAAAAGAAGTTCTAACAAATTTAAGTTAGAGAATTTGCTGTTGACTGCAACTGTACTCTTGGCAGCTTGAGGTGCTTGTCCAGTCTCGTGGAAATGGCACACAGTTAAGTAATTGCAGCAAGAGATGATTTTGGAACAATCTATTCTACTGTATACAAAGTAATCCAAAACAGAATCACAATGAATACTCAAGTACTTCCTACTGTGATGCATCACCCCTGTAACACTGCTGCCATCACCACTAAAGCGAGTGCATTTGGAAATCCCAGAGCCAATCTCACACTAGAGGCAAGGTCAGGTTCCAAGCACTGCAGATGCTGGAAAGGACCAGATTTTGAGAAACACTATCACACAGCTGCCTGGATTTGTTTTACTGTCAGGAAAGAATAATTTACTCTCTGCTTTTCCAAAACACCCCTTGCATGTACTTTGCAAAACAAGGTGAGTAATACCATGTCTTATCTCTCCACAGGTCAGTGACTTAGAAACCTTACAAAGGCTAATACTAACTAGGTATTAGATTTTCATCAGGAACACACAAAACCACAAAGTACTTCAATCACAACTGGTCTGTATAAAACTTCCTACCTTGTCCAAACACAGATTTCCATGTCTCTCAGCAATAGCCTTCCTAAAACTGTGAGAAAGTGGGTACAGCATGCTATGATGTGGGTGGACAGAAGGCAGTCTGTTTTTCTCCAGTTGATCAGCTACAATGCTAACCAGTTTCTTCATTCTTTCATCATAGTCTGTCCAGTCACAGACAATCTAGAAAAAGGAAAAATTAAAATAATATTAGGACAGCTTCCTTTGAGCCGTATCAGATGTTTCAGAAGTTGAGACTAACACTTCTTCCAAAAATGGAAGCAAGAACTTCAGTAGCAACTGTTGATGACTGTATAATCTCATCTTCTGATTTAAGACTTAAGTCTATTCTTTACATTTAAATTAGTGATTGGTTGAGGTGATCAAGCTTAGCATTTGCTACACAGGAATCTTAAGAATTACAATCAAAGCCCTGTCTTCCTCACTTGCAAACAGTGGGCCAAGTTGCAGTATGCATCTGGGAAATCAGGTTTCAGTTTCAGAGCAGTACGGTAAGAGGCAATGGCTTCTGGTATATTCCCTGAATCCTGTAAAGACACAGAAATGAGTCAGCAGATAAAAATACACTCAGGGTAAGTACTTACAGTGCCCCATCACACTCTAAGAGTGAATCATTTGCATGTGCTACCTTGTGAATAGAGGCCAGGTTGCTGTGGGCATCAGCAAAAGCTGGGTTTATCTGAATGGCACGGGTGTAGCACTGCAGAGCTCCTTGAACATCTTGCATCTCCTTCAAAGTATTTCCCATATTAGAATAAGCATCTGCAAATGTGGGGCTGATTCTGAGAAAGATAATATATGTCATGAACAATAAAAGCTCCTCCTCCAATGAGAAACCACACCATACCCAGACTTTTTCATTAGCAAAGCAACTATCTGAATTAAAATATGCTACTGTAAGTCACTTTCTGTACAAGTCTACGGCACTTTCCTGTTATGAAAGGCCGGGACTATTATAGGTAGTACTCGTTTACCTAATAGCCTCTTTGTAATGCATGAGAGCTTCCTGTAACTTTCCCTGCTGTTGCAGAACACTTGCTAGATTTGAATGAGCAGCAGCGAACTCTGGAAACACCTGGAAGAAAACAGAGTAGAATCTGTGTCTCAATTCCCCAAGTAGACCACATCAAAATAACACTCATGCATTTCTTACTCTTCTTTTTATATGACTCAGGTCTCTGAGCAGACGTTCCTCCACTTATGACCGCTTATGACCAAAGAGGGTCAAAAAACCCTATGTCATTACACATTCCCAACTTTAACCTCTCACCTCTCCCTCATCACATTCAACTGTACCTCAAGAGCCTTCCGATAAAGACGGACAGCTTCCTCAATATTCCCCTGTTCCCGTTTGATGTTTGCTAGATTGTTGAGAGAATCTGCATGAGTGGGACAAAGTCGAAGAGCTGTATTGTAGCATTCTTCTGCTTCTACCACCTTCAAAAAAAAGGGATACAACAAATATTACCATATTAACAGTAACAGCACTGTTAATGGGAAGTCATTAAACAATCACTTTTAACAGGTTCAAGATGGAGATTTCCTGAATTATTCCTCCTTATGACTGAGGACAACATTCTGTATTAATGAAGTTGGTGACACCTGGTTTCTAAAATAAACATTGTACTTTTAAAAATTTTAAAAAGGAAAAAAGTACTCCTTACACTGCCCTTCTCCTTCAAGGCGTTGGCCAAGTTACAGTAGGCATCAGGGAAGTGGGGTTGTAGTTCAATAGCCCTCCTGTAGGTGTCTATTGCTAGGTCTATTAGTCCTTGTTCATAATACACACAGGCAAGATTGCCATGCACAACTGCATGATTTGGACTCAAACTCAAGGCTCGTAGATAAGCTGCTACAGCTCTGTAACAAGAAAAGGAAGGTAAACAATCATCCACAGACCAGCAATTATGTTTACCTTGGTCATAAAAATGACCTACATTTAAAAAATTAACTTGAAGGGATATGCATTATTAACACACAAATCTGTCCTACAAGATGTTACTGAAAACACAGAAGAGTACTGCCTGAATTAAAAGCCCAATCAAGGGATGAATTATTATTCATGTTATTTTAACGCTATGCTCAATTCTGTAATAACTAGCAGACTTGAAATACTTCATAAAACAGGAATGTTCTCCTCCCACCGGATGCTGTATAGTTATTAATGTAAGTCTTCTGGAAAAAAAGTAAAGCTTTTGTCTACTTTTTTTTAAACACTCTTGATTACTAGGATAAGCATGAAACCTTTGCTCCTTTTCCAGTTTATTAAATAGTAACAATATAAACAGTATCATATTATTACATGTCTTTATTCTCTCTGCTAACCTAACACATGTATCGTACTTATACTTCAAACTTCACTATGTTCAAAAGTGAGATCTTTATGTGCTCCTCTAACACTATATAAATGACTGATGTATTCTAATCTGATTTCTATAAAAATCACAACACAGTGAGTAAATTCTCAAAAAGGTAGTCTAAAATTATGAGGAAACATGCCCCTGTTTGGCCCATTAATTCGTGGTTAAAATAGAAATCACTGAATTACACTGTGTGCAATCCACCTAGTTAGAATAATTCACCTGTTCCCTGAAAGCTTTTATTAAATTTAGAGCCACAAACTACAGCTACCAGAAATTGTAATCCAATTAACAGATGCAATATGGTACACTGTATATAAACAACACAGCCTAGATCTTCTTCCAAAAACAAAAGTAGGACTCATGTATCAGATCAGAGATCTCAAAACAAGTTAGTTCAAAAAAACAGCAACAGTACTGCAACTCCATGCAATAACGTGATGCCAACACATAACAAATACAGAATACTTAATCAGATGCTTAGCTGAATTTCAGTATTTCAGCTTGTCTTACATAGAAGGAAAATTTTCAAAGACACTTGTAGATCATGTCCTGAATCACATAATGAAAACAGAGAACTCAAGGGTTCATGCCTTTCTCAGACATCTTATCTTCACCTGTCCCCAGCCTTAATTTAAGATCTATTTTCATCAGTAACTTCAGAAACTCTCATTTTTAATACGTGATTAAGTACAAGAAAGTAACAAATTCCACAGGATTATTTTAATTAATTCCAATAGCCTGCTCTGTATGCATTTCAAAGCCATTTGCTTGCCTAGCTTACAGCAGAAGTCTTTGCTACACTGTCCAAAGAGGAGGAACCCAATTTGTATCTTGATACATCTGACAGGCCACTGACAGTGACAGTACTTATCTGCTTACCTGTCAAATATCCTTGCCTCCTTCAGGACATTTCCCAGATTGATGTAAGCATCCAAAAAATTTGGGTCAAGTGTTACAGCCTGAAAATATTTTTGAAGTAACAGTTTTGAGCATTAACACAAAAACATTCTCTATGAAACCTAGTTGGTGGGGTTTTTTGGGTCTTTTTTCCCCTTCTCTAAATTTGAGAAACCCAATCTGTAAGCATCTAAGACTTTATCAATAACCTAGTAAGGAAGGAAAACTTAAGTTATATAAAACAAGCGCAGAGCATCAAAGTTATTTATTTGTAGAAACGACAGCACGTACTACCTTCAAACTATTCATTGGTTTACCTACTCAGTTGCAATTACTACAGAATAATTTGTTAAACATTTATTTCACATTAGGTTGATCATACTTAACACTCCTGTCTACCCATGCTATGCTGCCTTTAATTTGCTTTTAGGGGAGAAAACCCTAAAAAACCTAATTCATATCCTTTATCTACTGCAAAATAGGACAGCATTTTAAAACTTTAGCAGCCCAGGAAAATACAGTTTCACAAGAGCAAGAAAAGAACAAATACATCATGTGTGCAGGGAAAATTCAGTAGCCATTTAACTAAAACATTTTCACTCCCTTCAAAACTTAAGAACCAATAAAATTACAGAAGATGCAGTAATAAGCTACATGTGAGTATTTGACAGGCCACACTCAGTGTCTCATGGGAACTATTATTTCTAAATTAAAATACTTTATAATCTATCACTAACTAGACACAGATAAAAAAATCCCAAGCAGTTAAAATTATTTTTGTAGATCTTAAGCCATAAATATCAGTAAGAAACTGTCTAACACATCTTAAACACAGTTTTTGGTCACTTTAGAAACTTAAGAGATGAGTACAAACTGAATTAAGACGCTAACTAGAAGGTATGAGACAACTAGTTAATGACCTCAATCTAGAGAAGTCTGAAACAATACTGGTGAAAAATAATCCTGAAGAAGAGGAATTAGTGTGTCACTTAAAATTGTTCTCCACCATTACTCAGAGGACAGTAACACCTGAAATAAAATCACAATGAAAATTGATTTTAAACAGAAAGTTGTTTCTCCCTCTCACAGATGACACACAAATCATTCCCATCAAATCAGATTTTAAAAAAAATTATTCTGGAAAAGGACTGTAAAACAACTTAATGAATTTTCTTATATTTGACATGTGTGTGAAGTCCTTAGAGCAATTCTAAACAGATCTCTCTAGTGGCATACAGGCAGTCTGAAACATCAGCAAGTAAAAAAAAACAATTAACACAGGATGTTAACTAACAAGATCACAGTAAGTTCTCTGCTGATCAAAATATTTCTATCATCTACAAGCAAACAACTGCACGTACATTAAAATCTAGCAGTGAAGCTGACTGGCTTAGATAGTTACCTTTTCAAAGTGATGAATTGCAAGCCAAATTTCTCCTTGGGCATTGAAAACACATCCAAGATTACTCCAAGCCACTGCAAAGTTTGGTTGAGTCTCAATTGCTTTTAAGTAACAGGCCTTGGAACAGTTAAAGAAGAGAGATACAAGGGAAGGGGAATATTTGTAAAAAGAAAAAAAAATGAGAAAAAGTAATTGTTAGTATGCCTTCTCTAACCAGCCAAAAGTGACCCTGCAGTATAGGCTAGCTTGCGCCAAAACTAATGCGCTGCAAACTGTTGTTGATCCTGCGCCAGCGCAAACCAAAACCCGGGTGCAAGCCCACCATTTTTCAGTTATGCTGATAACAAATTAACATGCCTTTAGACACCAGGTCATCACAGAAATCATCTTAAAAATAATTCAAGTTGTTCAGCAGAAATATTTGCTACCCTTAAGTGCGTAAAAAACAAAAAATTACTGTGTAAAAGCAACATCACTGTGAAATAAAATTACTAAATTGTGAAATATTCTAAAACAGATAGAAATTACTTTAAAAAAATTAGAAAAACTACTGAAAAAGATGAAGCCATTCTTCAGTTTTAATTGTCCTTATCAAGTGAGATGACACACCCAATCCATTATCTTGCGTTCCAGTTTCTTCAAATACATTCAATCATCTGCAGCTTCAAAACCTCAAATGACAGGACTGCATGAAGGTTTAGGTCCCTGTAATGCAAGCGCAAGAAATCGCTGCGCATCCTAAACAGCACGGCGCCACGCTATCGCTGCGAACTGCTTTGCTACGTTGATTGCCCCTAGGTTCAGTGAACGGCCAACCAGAATCATTAATCTACCAGACAGGCCCATACAGAAACTCACATATTCAATTTGATGTCTGGACTCTAAATGCGTTACAACCCAATTTTATCCAAAAGGCTACAGCCTGGAGCTTGGGCAGTCACCCAATCAGAGATTAATCATCTAGTCAACCGTTCACGAGGGCTTAATCGCACGCAGTGCGCGTTACCGCTGCGCAGCCTTTGCGCTACTGCAGGATCACAGCGCATCATCAGAAGAGCAGAACGCTGCAATCCAAACAAAGAAGAAAAAAGGAAAAAAATGAACAACCAGAAGAGTTAGAAGCTTTTACTATTAACTATCTCCAATTATTTCTTTTTAAAAATATTTTAATTTACTTTTACTTTATTTCTTTGAAAGAATTTGTGGCTACTAGTATAAAATATTTCTTACATTACTTGCTTGTAATTAAATATTTTAAGCTGTTTCTGAAGCCACAAGACAGAAGATTCAGGCATGGAGGCAAATGGTTTTGCTGTGGCAGTTACAAACCCGTTACCATATTTCTCATCATGTGACTTTTCGGTGCGTTCCTTGCTGGAAGAGGAGGAGGAGGTGTGTGTCTGCCCTAGATCCAGGCCTCGAGCTCCCTTCAGCGAGGCACCTTACGCATGGAATAGGAGGTTTCACCCACCTGAAACCTTCTAAATACAATATCAGTGGTGAAAAACCAAAAACAAGAGAGAAAATAAAACAAGATCATTAGTAAGAGTTCAACAAAGCAATTGCATTTTTTTTTGGATAAGTCTTAACACATGGGAATGAGGATAATCTGGTCTGTAACAAGGGAGACATGCAGAAGGGAGAGGGTTAATCAGGGCAATTGCAAACAGCAGGGACTTTTTTTGGAAGAAAGGCTCTGAAATATCTACAAAGAAATTAAATTTTAGTTCAAACTGCAAGGAATCTGCTGGCTTGATCTTTCAAATGGACTGATAACCAAAGAAACACATTGCAATTTACTCAAGATGTTTTTCCTCATTTATTAAGTTCTCACAAAACGGAATAACACTTTCAAACTAGGTGTCTCCAGAGCTCTGAAACAAAGAAGTCAGCAACCTAAGGCAGGCGCAGTGTCTTGGCCTATACCAGTCACACTAAAGCTGCAGTGAAGTGCAGTTCATGTTAGCTGTCCGCTTGGTGGGCTGAGAACCAAGTGTCTCAAAGACCGTTAAATTCTAAATGCTGCTGTGAAATATTTTCAACCTGGAGATGATCAAATCAATTAGGCTGCCCTAGGACAGTATGCACATCCAAGTTAAGAGAAATCAAAAAAAATAATGAACTTTGAACCTGCACTCCCATTACCCCAAAAAGATCATTACCCCCCCCCCCCCCCCCCCCCCAATGGTGCTACAGCCAAACAGACAGCTACGCTGTTCATACACTCCACTTTTTAGCATGCGCGTGGGGCTTGGAGCTACAGACGTGGAGTCCAGAGTGTTTCCGATTTCTCCACACTCCTCACCCCTGCAGCGCGGACGCGTAAGGTGGCTTGTAACAAGACAATTTCTTTGTGCAATCCAAGTTTTAACATGCCAAGAATTTAAAACTCATCTTGGTGTTCAAATTCTCAGTTCAGGAAACACAAGACTGCTAGAAGCCACCTTTGCACTACAGCAAGTTTTCTTTCGATCAGTTCATTTCCCAAACAAACCAGCTTTGTCCTTCTGATTTCTTTATTTTAGGGGAGGGGAGAGGGAAGACATGAAGAAGAGATATTTGAGGGGTTTGCATACTGCAGCTATTGATCATTTACTAGCCTTTCTTCCACTATGAAGGGAAGGGAAAAATTAAAATAATATAAATCTTTAAAAGCCAATATTACAAGATAACATTTGGATAAGTTTCTTCTCCACTTACAAGCCACAAAGGACTTTAGAAGAGCAGCATTTTCAATAGCACCTGCATCGTACAGGGATCTCGAACTAACCACAGGCTCTCTGCTTGGCACCAGCAGGCAAGCCTCGTATTTGAAGGACTGTTATTTATTTCCAGATAAAAGCATGATGGAGTCCCTGCCCAATACGTCAGAATGGTATCAGATAGTCTAGTTCAGCAGAAAGGCTTGGTAATGTTCCATTTCTTGACTTAAACCAACTTTTAAACATGGACATGCCATATCTTGCCCTGCAACTACTCTGGGGCGTTTCAATGCCTTCAGTTTTCAGCAGTTTCTCAGACTGTCTGTAGATCAACGCAGATTTGAAGACTTGGTGCAAAGTTCAAGTTTTCAAAACACTGATGTTTACATGTATTCTACCCAACACCTACCTTGGCTTCTTCCAAGCGACCCAGGGCTTTGAGCAGGTTCCCCAGGTCACTACGAACACAGTACAAGTCCTGAAAAGTCAAAGTCACGCTATGAGCTTCAGGACTTCAGACATCTCAAAGGTCTTCAACAGAGAACTTGCAAAGGAATGCTCCAGACCTCTACAGTGTATTTTAAATTCTTAATAAATACATCACAAATGTTATTTTTCTTGACCTAAAATTACAGCCAACAGATAATCTTACTGATATTAGTACTGTAAAAATACAACCATAAAGAAGTAGAAAGAACAAAGTAGTATTTCATGCAATTCCTCTTTACACAGAAATATAAAAGAAAAAAAAAATCCCTCCCTGCAGCTTAAGTTCTTTTGCTATATATATAAGTATCTGAAGCCCCCCCCCCTTTTTTTTAATGCATGACTGCAAACTTCTATTCTTAAGTTATATCATTGCCATTATGGCTTTTAAATAGATTATATATAATGATATTGCTTCCTGTATCTCCCCAAAGCAGTTTTTCTCCCACTAATCCATCTACTTTCAACAGCCTTGCCACACGTTCTTGTTCTTGCATTTGTGACCACAGCACAGGCTGCAACTGTATTACCCAAGCAGTAAAGACCACAGAATGGGGACATTTTTGCAACACTAAAGTTCTAACCTAAACAAAATTCAACTCCTGTAAGAAAACACCATCTTAGAGTATTTCTAACCAGTATATAAACTCTACTAGTCACGCCACTCAGCACAGTAAGTTAGACAAGTTCACCTAGGCTGAATAACACAGTGAAACAAGATTTTGAGCTCTTGTTGGACTGAGTTTGCATTTGCTTTTCCAAAAAAGATGTATGCACATCAGACCGTTGCCGCATTTTAAGTAATTTTTGACAAAACTTATGACCAAATAGCAAGCAGATACCTTCATCATGCTAAGTAGTACTACACAAATTGAGTACAATGCAAAATAAAGATAGCAGTCTGACACATTGTTTACTAAAAATGTCAGTTCAAAACAGTTACACTCAAAAATCCAAACACCAGATCTATTCTATAGTAGTCACTTATAGACTTATACTCAGTTTCAGCCTGTAAAACATAAAACTGATGCTTCTGTAAACCAGTCCACAGTGGAAATCTAACCAAGGCAACTCTTACCACCATGAAATTTCTGACTTTGTGATAAAGTAATACCTGATGATTTTTCAAGATCTCACATTCAAGTCTGAGCAGTAATTCTCTCACTGTAATGATACTGCCTTAAAGCTCATAGATATGAGGTTATTCACTGAAAAGTCTGACTTCAGAAAAAAACAACAAACCAATTCCTTGCTTTTCTGTTATCTCAACAATACAGGTAAGTACACAACCAGCAGCTCTTACTGTACCGCAGTATAAAACATTTTGTGACAGAAATCTTCCAAAGATCCTTAAGAAAAGTATGAAGTAGATCATTAATTTTATGGTGTACAAGTTAGAGGGAAGGATTATGACTTGCTTGTTTTTAAAAACCTGCTATTTGTGTGTCCTGGGACAGCAGTAAGGTACGGAATTCTTCTATAAAATAAAGCTTTACTTACAGGATTGTACTGAAGGGCAGACACATATGCTTGTACTGCTCCTTCCATATCACCTGCAGCTACCAGCGCAGCAGCCAAATTAATATATCCATCAATGAAATCTGGTTTGAGGCGTAGTGCATGTCTATAATGTTCAATTGCTTCTTGTAGTTGTCCACGCTCCTTGTACACATTGCCCAAATTCGAGTAGGCTTCGGCCAACAATGGATTTTGTTTAATAGCCAAAGTGCTGAAGTGAGCAGACCTGGAGAAAATTAGACAAGTTAGGGAAAAAAAAAAAAGAAAAACCCCACCCTTGACTTTCAGTGTTTGCCTGTTTACCTACCTACTTAATGAATATTCATGCTTAGTGAGCCAAATGTACAGCCAACAAATCTGGACTTACAGAGTTGTCTTGTACATTTAGCTTCTAGCTTAAACTATCATCTCCCTGTTCCTATTTCAGATTCTACTGAAGAAAGACAATTCTCATTTCCAATCAGTAGGGTTCAAGTCGCCTCACCAAAGCTAAGCTCAACACACTTGGAGAAAACACTACAGAAATCCTGTGAAGCCTCTTCCAACATTTGTATGCTTTACGCAATGTTCCAATCTACACTCTTTTCAAGAAGCAGGATATAGCTGGTAGATGTAAAACTCTATTATATCCTCCCCCATTTTATTTTCCCGTATCTGAACTGTTATTACAACTTCATTCAGACACTTATATAAAATAAGTCTCAGTCAGAAGTTCTTAGTTCCTTCACCAGCACACTCAGATTTACGCTTATTCTAAGTAAAGTTCAAAGTAAAGCTCAAAATGCCTGAGGCACAGAAAGCAAGATCAGGAATAAGCAAGCAGAAAGAATATAGAGATAACAGATGACAAAAATCCTTAACTAATCACACCATTTGGCAACAGTCTTGCAACTTTAACAAAAACCAAAACCACAAACCTCCACACTGCAGGTGGAATAAACAAACAAAAGCCTTTGTTTCCAGATGTAAATACCTCCAGTACACACACGTGTGGCTGACCCTCCAACATTAACATGTACAATATTAAAATAACATGACATAAATGGTAAGATCTGTTGTTTGTTGTAAAGCTAGCAAATCCAATTTGATTTTCTCTTACCCTAACAAAATGCAAAAAGTAGGAAGATTATTTTTGACCAGTCCTTACTGCTGCCATGAAGTTAGTAAGCATTTGCACTCAGTGATTAAAACAAAGACAGACATGTTAGAATAGAACTTTTGTCAGCTATGCTCAGTACTATTAGAGGTGCGAACTATGATGAAAGCTTGACAGAACACCTCAAGTTTCCTACCTGTCCAATCTGCGACACTGGAAGTGAATGGATGATAGTAATAAAAGCACACCAGTATTATCAGGCTCTTGTCTCCAAAGCTGCATGCAGTGTCTCTCTGCTGCTTCGAAGTCTCCTGCCTGATACTCCCGATGAGCCAACTCCGCTAACCCTTGGAAGGAAAGCATACGTTTCGTTGGTTCTGGAGAATCACCAAAACATTTAAGGGGGGAAAACAAAAAGTTAGATAATGGGAACAAAACAAAAAACAAAACAATGTGAAAAAGCGTACACAACTGAAGGATGAAAATGTTTGAAATTACATAAAACACTATAGTACGTGGCAGTTTGAACTCTCAGATCTTCATGCCCCAACCTATTACTGTATTTCTAACATTATCTGTACAAGTCTGTGACTTCATCAGCTAATAATAGGAAACATGTAGACTACAGTGACTGTGAATATTTGTAAGTCAATCATTTTCCATTAACTTGAAATATATTTAAAGAGATTCCTGACATGATACTGTACTTTGATTCATAACAGTAGAAGCGTGGCTAACAGAACGAGTCTCCTCACTCTACCCCAGAGACTGTACATCTTATGCTTTGCAGTATTAAAAACAAACTCTAAAAACTTAACAGGGAAATGAAAGACAGCAGACAAAAACTTCAAAGGACTTGAACAAAACAAAGTTTTGCTGTGCCAGCAGTGAAATCCCTTTTTAAAAAAAAAAAAGTATATGTAACATTCCTTGAATCTTCTATACTCCTACATTCTCTATAATGAATAAAAGTTCCTACACAGAAAAAAATTGGTCTTGGAAAAATATCTGATGAGACACAAACACACACTTCAACAATTATGCAACTGGCCTACAGAAGGAACCATTAAACAAACAGGGTACAGGAAAGAAGTTACTGCTTCTGGAGGTTTAGCTGGAATGGGAATGACAAAATTATTTTAGTATTTAAGATACAATTGTGGAGAACAAAATACTTAAAAGAAGCACCACCTGTTTCAGACAAAAACAACTGTAAGTGTGAAAAGTAAATAAAATTTCTTACAAGCATGGTTCTGTATTAGAGTGCAGCCTGGAAAAAACCACAACCGTTCATCCTAGAAAGAAGTGTTGGCCTTCAAATTCTGCCTTTATACCAATTGATTTGTACTATTAAAATATCTGATTACTGCAAGTATCTCTTATTTTTCCTCCTGAAGTCCAGCATTTCCAGTACTCTACAGTCACTTAATTCCACTTATGAAACAGTTCCACTGGGACCTACAGTTTTAAAATTTTGAATTTAAATGAAATTTTGAATTTAAATGAAACTGATAAATCCTTTCTAATACAAGGAAGCACCTCAGTATCTGAGAACACATATTTTTGCAGTTAGGTACTAGAAAAGTCCACTGAGATTCTTTAATTCTTTTGTGAGAACTCTAAAGATAGCAAAATAATCACAAAGAGATTAGGTACAGAGCGTCCAGTAGAGACAGAGAGATTAGGTACTACAGTACTATCTAGTGTTTATTTTATGAAATTGGGATTGATGTAAATTATTTAAATTATTTTCAAAATTCCTTTTTTTGGCAGTAGCATGTTTTGAAGATTAGTTACATCACGTAGTGTTTGCAATCTTAAGTTGTTTTTCCAGATAGTATATTGTCTCTGCCAGCGCTAAAAACTTGAACTGTTTCACAGTAAATTGGAACTACCAAAGCTACTTGTTTTCAGATACTTGACAAATTACTAACCAGGAATCTTCATCCAGATTAGATTCCTGGTTTCTAGGAGCCTAGCTTGATAGCTTTCCAAACCCTCAGTAAGGGAAAAGTAGACTTCAGTATCAGTTAAACCTACTGGCAATAAACAGATAAAACTGTTATTCTACTAAGAATGACAGCACCATTTATGAAAGTCTAAGGTGCAGACAGTAATAATGATACTGAAGTACCAACACTGTTCCTCACTCCCTCCTTCTGCCCTCAATAGCCACACAGGTTTAGACCCTCTGGCAGTCAGTGTTATTTTCAAGTTCTGCTGATAACACAAACATAGGGAAGTTCAATAAAGGAAGAGCATATCCCATGGAATCACTACTTCTTCAAATAAATTTCAATGGTGTTACTAAATTTCAAAGCTAAAGTAGAAAAAAAAACCACCACCACACCACACACAACAACAAAACAAATACCACACACCACACCACCAAAACCCACCAAAACTCTGAAGTTTAGACTTAAATTCTTATGACCACTTGGAAAGAAGCTTCCAACCTTAAAGAGTGAAACTGAAGTTGCAACTCCAAGGGCAAGAGAAAAGGCAGTGCAGAAATATTGTATTTAACACCTGGGAATAAGAATTGCTAACAAAAGCAACAAAATAAGTGAAACACTAAAATTTTCTTTCACTTATCAAGACTCTTCACAAATCTCCCCAGAAGAGATAAAGCAACCAATCACTCAGCATAAAACAGCCAGTGATCTACCTGCCAATGAATATTTTAGCAATGATCCTTGAGAAGTTTGTTACAAAGTAGGAAGTAGACAGGTATATCACAAAGTTAAAAAAAATGTGGTAAGCTTTTTATTAAAAGTTGGCTGGAAGAAAAAGTTCTACAACCCAAAGAATCCGCAACATAGTCATCCATGGTTGCTCACTGAATCCACTTCTAAAGAAAATAACTGCAGTGCAGAGCCACAGCCAGAAGAAACCCTTATCAAGCCTTGCATACACAAATTTATGTACGTAGGCCAACTTGTGCTACAGGCTTTGACTATGACCTTGGAAAAGCCTAGAAAACCCACACAGAACTATCACAAATGTACCCAAGGTCATTTTTTTCCCCCAGAAATAACTTCCTAAGCACTTACCATACGCTCATGCTCAACCTTGCATTTAAAATCTAGGCCCACAGGAGCAGCTGTCACCTCCATCTGGGAGGCGGTGAGGAAGCACAGGACTCTCCCCAAGCGTGCACATGTTCTTTTCACCTCCACAGACCAAGGCTGCAAAAGAATGCTGCAGTCTCTCTGACCAGACATGCAGTTCTTGCTAAGGAGCAAAGAAATACCGTACTGCAGCACTTAGCCCCTCCACTTCTGTATCACTTCTCTTTATATTCCTATCTCTGCATTGCTATCCCATCTCTTTCTCCATAGATCCTCTTTTTTTGTTCTTCCTACTTTTCCCAGACATCGTTTCAGCTTTTCATACTATTCCTTTCCTCTGGTTAAAAAAACACCCAAAAATCTGGGGGATAACACTGTATTGTTCTTTCATCCTTTCAGTAAACAGAATACATCTTTTTCTTGCTCTAAACGGAAAGTGAGATTTCTCCTCTTCTTCCTTCCGCAAGTTCTGGATCTGTAAACTAAATGTAGGACAGTATCCTTCTTAGCGGGAACACGCTACCTCATTTTCCAGAAAAGCACTGTACTTCTCAGCTATACCACAAAAGACCTGCTCCTTAAGCGTACCGAGAGATTCTAGACCAGTACATTTTGACTCAGGTTTTTACCGTCCTTCGTCCTCTACAAAAACTCTGTCACCTGATAATTGGCTAAATATAGCAGTAAGAGAGCACCACACTAAGAACCAATGGCGCCACGCTCCTCCAAGAGAAAGTCGCAGGCTGTGGCCGGGTAGCACCGACAAGAGCCCGCCGAGGGACAAGCCCGGGCCAGCTGGCAGCCCGCGACAGCCCATCGGCGCCCCCGAGGCGAGGTGAAACAAGCACAAAGGAG